AGCTCGGCAAAACATACCTCCGAAACCTGCTGAGTTTCGGTTTGGTTTAAAGACTTTCCCACAGAAGAACGTGGCGCTCTCGCCGAAGACACCGTAACCACCGAATCTTCTATCCCCGGTACGGCCAAAGCTGCCGAGACGTTTAAAGGCACTTGAGACGTGGTAGAGGAAGTTGGTGGGTCAGCCACACTAACAACCACATCGGTTGGATTCAATTCTTCAATAATCTCAGCCGGAGAAGTCATAGTGAAACGCTGCTGGGTGAACGAACTACTTGATAAATGGATTTCTTTCTCCAGTAGGGTTCACGCCAAGTGACATACTTGAATATTTAATGATCTYTTAAATAATACTAATGACGTCATCAGGATGTCTGATGAATATTTAATGAGATAGAATAGTACTATTCTTCGATTGCACGTTACGTCATCGCGGCCATGTTGGTGCCATTTAACAAAAGATTTCTCATTAGCATCCATTGTTAACGGCACCACAATGGCCGCCATGCTTTTGTCTTTAAACTCTCTTGGGAATGCTTGCAACCCATCAATATCGGGTTCCTTAATCCAAGCATGGTTCATTGTGTTTTCAAGTCAGACATCAAGGCACAATGCTATACTAGGATAGTCACCGATGTCCGTACACTTAATTGATGGACTTTCATCTCACTTGACAATGTCTTTAATATTGACTTCGTGCACAATAATACCCCGAGATTACTAGGATCACGGTTATTACTGAACGAAAATTCAGCATTTATTGTACGCTTTGTACAATGAACAAAATAATGCATTAACTTTATTTCAAAAAGCAATCGAGTATGAAACGCCTCAAATTAAAAATAATTTGAAGAGAGTTCGAAGATTACCGATACCTTTTTATGCAATGCACGTCCAAAAAAAAAAAGGTTAAAATGTACGGCCTGCTCGTATATTTTGGTCGGATATATACAAAGGGACGTGTAGTGTCGCGCAAATCTTACTATATATCAATTAACTAAGCTAACTACTTCAAACCGTTAATTAGAAGTGTACAATGCCTTTGTTATTACAGAGAAGTTACATGCGTTTTTATTGGTTAAAACATCTTACGTCATCTTTTACTTTGTGTGTGTTTTCGGTACTTTAACTATGCGTCATATAATACATCAAAACATTATAGCACAAACAACCTATCTTAACTTAACCCAATCAAACTAAACCTAACGTGACCCTGTTTACTTCTCCCCCCCCCCCCCCTCTCTTCCATCAACAAACAACATGATCAATGAAAGATTTGCCATCCTGTTTATTGCCACGCTGATGTCTAGAGCGCGCGTGGTACTTACAGCAATTCCTGATAACTCAATAAACACTGCAAATGTTTTTGTTTTGTACAAGCTTAATAATATTCAAACAGTATACTGCGAGCGAGGTCCTCTATGTGCTTGTTGACTTTGGTTAGTTTGGATGAGAGAGAATTAGTATCCAGAGTCAATAGTGCAGTTTTCGTATGACTGTGAAAAGCTCAGTGCCGTAAGCGTGACGTGTCGTGATACTTTCTAGAATTTTAATTGGCTGATTTTTTTCACGCGAAATATGATTGGTCTAAAAAGTGCCGTGTTCTTGGCGTGACCGTGTCCGCGCCGTGTTCATGTTCGTGCAATGTGATTTGTCTGGCGTATCCCTTGCTGTGTCACGACTGCGGTTCGTGGCGTTAACTTTTCACAGTCATACGAAAACTGCACTATTGTTGAAATGTCCACGGTACAGATTTGGATCCGATCCTCACTCGGTCAAAATATGAGGACGAAGACAGGGCCTGGGGTTAAGGCAAATAAAGAATCTCCGCACAGTGTATTCGAACAGATTTAAAGTGACATTTAGAAATAAAATGATTCTGCGCGCTGCATCCATGCTTAGTATTCAACTACTTGTGATTCAAAAAGATTTATAAGTTCAGAAGTATTGCGGCCTTGGTAATAATTGTTTAAAAGTAAATTTCTTTTTTTTTTTCCTTCTTCTTTTGTAGGTGTTTTTTTGTTGTTTGTTTTTCGAATAGACCTTTTTAACAAAAGTATAGCTTATGAAACATTCACTTCATCAGAAATACTACATACACTGACTAAGTTCTAAGGAGCACCATCTCAACCCTCTTCTGAGTCTCTCGGGCCGTGCGGAAATTTCAGAACTAAAACACCATTTCCAATGTTTTTAATTTAATGTGCTGTTGTGCATTTGTTTTACTGGTTAAAAAAAAAAATTCCTCGATAGAATCACCTTAAGATTTAGAATCAAGCTCTATAAATGAAAATGTGGGGTTTCACCATTGGTGTACAAGCTTAGGACAAGCTTGGGCTCCCTGTGGTGCGTTGAGGTACATAAATATGCAGTAATGCGCGGATTGCAACTTGTTAATTCATGATTCCGACTCCCATTAGTTACCGTTGCTATGTACCACAAGCTCAGAAAAATAGCTAGAATATCTCAAAATTTAAAACTCTGATCGTCCAAAAATGATTGTAAAAATAAAAGAAAATTGCCTCGAAATCCTTGTAGTACTCCTTTAAACAAATTCTGTGTAGCTATTTGTGGGACAAGTCTAATTGCACTGGAAAAACTGCTGCAACGATAACTAATGGGAGTTGGAATCAAGAATCAGTCAGTATTTTAAGAAGCAATTCTTTTGTTACAAAGGTCTTTTAAGAAACATCTTGGTCAAAGTAGATGCTGGTTTGCAAACAAAAAGAGTATGGTTTAATCTTCCCCCTCTACCTTGTCCAGCAAATCTCCTGTAAAAAACAAAATAACGAAAGCTGAAAACACAATATAGAGGTTTTGGACCATGAAATGATGGCAGTCGTGTTAGATGGCAGGACTGAGCAATACAATCGTTTTACATGAGAAAGAATTTATCATTAGTCATCTAACATCAAAACATCAAACATGGAAAAAATCAGTCTCTAAGGTGCATGTTGTTGACGAGAATAAGAAGCAGAACACAAGTCATTCCAGCTAATCTTGGATCTTGGGATGACCTATCTCCTATCGCTTTTCGCCTTTGGCGATGACAAAGTTTTTTCTTAAATAGGTGTTGTTTTTTTTTTCTTTTTTTAATTTAAACATATTTACTCTCTGGGTTCTCTCCAAGAGCTAGGCTCATCGTGGGAGTTTACACAGTTAACCATAATTACAAGGTTTCTGGAGTTTTAGGAAAAACGAAAAGGAAAAAAAAAGTTTAACATATTAACACAAAAAAAAAACCACATATATATAGAAAAGTACAATTGAGACTACATCGTGGGAGATTACATGTAATGATTAGAAAGGAAAAAAAAGCGTATATTCATAGAAAAATAAAAATAAAAATAGGTGTATAAAGAGTGAGCAGAGAGTTTTACTCTTGGCTTACCAATAGTATCCCGAACGCGTGCCCAGCCAACTTTAGGAATAGTGATAGAAGTACGATAATTAGCAGTAACCTGAAACAAATTAAATAAATAACTCACGATCTTTGTAAGAACATCTTGGTCTACGCAAACACACGCAGGCAAACTACCAGCTAGCCTGTTTACTTCCTTATGCGTAGAAGATTGGTGGCGATAAACATGGTATTGATTACTATCAATCACGTGACTTTTTGGAGTTGACTGGGGTGCAAACAAGCGCTTGACTGGGGGGCAACTAGCGGATGTTAAGTCAAAACATATCAAAATAAGCCCTCAAACTATTGTATTTGACTATTTTCACGACATTAAATCAGAAAACAAGAGATCAAAACAAGCTCCAGGATTCTACAAGCCATCAAAAAAGAGCTATTACCGGAAGTGACGTCTATTACGTAACGTGCAATCGAAGAATACCAAAGGTTGTGGAGGAAACGAAACGAATTTGAATCCCAATAAAAGTACTTTGGGAAGGACAATAGACCTCTTTACCCTGGGTGTCATGTTTTTCATTACAGACTATATGGAATTCCCTTGAGGTTAATATTCTTTGTCTTCTCACGCGGCCGTTAAAGAAATAATACTCTAGGAAATGACACGTGAACTGAAATGGGAAAATCACTCCCAAAGTCAAAGAGGTTTATTAGCTTCGTTTTTTTTTTAATTCATCAGAAGAAGTCTCCAACCCATCCTAGACCCTCATACACAAGATATATATAGAAGTTATATACAGTAGTTACCTCGGAGATCCTAAGGAACACACCGCGTGCATTGCTTCCCACATCAAAGTAGAATCTTTTCTGCTCTACTCGCAGTTCACAGGGCTTGGGCAATTCAAGACCTTCATCTAGAACAGTGAAGATTAATAGCTATATCTATTACTGACACTTTTAATAAAATGTAAGACACAAACTGGAATGTAACATGGATACTGAATTTTACTTGGCATCGCGATTAGGACATTATTCTTTGGGTGAATGTGAAGTCAACGCTGCCCTGTTGGTTGACAATACGTAACATTCCTCTTTAGACTAAGGCAAGCCTCATCCACAGGCTACCATATATTCTTTCTTGGGATCCCTGTGTTATATTTTATGGCAGAGAAGAACTAGAAACTAGAGAGGAGGAGGAGTGGGGACGAGGGAGGGAGAGAAAAAGCGAGAGAGGTAGCATCTCCTCTTCGTCTTTCTCCCTCCCCTCCCCTCCCCCCTTCGCCATTACGCGCGCATCAGCAGCAAACAAACCCACCATGCTCACCGTCATCAGAACCACATTCCTCTAATATCTCAGACAGGCTATTCCTAATATCCACGATACCCTGAGCTGGGATGGCAATCTCCTTGCGCATGGGACCACGTCCACGTGAGTCCCTATCCCCTCTGGGGAATATGATGGGCGCTTGGCTAACCTGCACAAAGCAATAGCAAAAAGAACATCAGTCAGGACCCCAGGGGCTGGTCTCCGGTTTTGGCAACGGCTATATTATAACCAGGGGATCTTAGTATTATTATAGGGTAACTTCATACCTTTAAGAATCGTCCTCGGTTATTCTCCTTAAGATCAAGATAATACCTCTTATTCTCACCGGTAATCATCTCACTAAATATAAATACATAAAACAAATACGGTCAGCAATAGTAAAGCCATACAAAATCTGTCACGAAAATGCCGGACTGATGATGATAACGATTTTTATAAAATAACTGTGATAAATCTGGCATTCTCATTGGTTGGGAGCGCGTGCTTTATGAGAGTACACAGCACGCACGCGCCCTTTGCATCTTATGGATTGACAGAACACTCAAGAAGTGTCGAGAAGCACTCCACTATGCGTCGTGCTTCTCGTAACACTTCTCTCGTGTTCTACCTATCCCCGCGTGTTTTATAACTGCACACAGCACGAGCGCGCGTTTTTTATTTCTTCAATATAGCGGCCTTTGAATGTTTTGAAGGTGTATACAATCATGACAGGCAGTAAGTATAAGGTGTAGGCCTTGATAGTAGTCACTGCCAGGGTTTCTTTACGTCCTCAGTGATTCTTTTACGTCCCTCCGATATTGGTTAGCAATGATGAAGAGTGGAGAGACGGGACAACTTAAAAAAGTGCTCTTCAAACTACAGTATTTCCATGGCTACCCTTTCATTAGTTAGATATCCAAGATAAGTGCGAGCCCGTATCGCTCGGAACGAGTTGCATGATTGGATTACTTAGGGAGCAATGAAAATCCAGCTTCCAAGCGGTACTGGATTACTCCAAGATAAGTGTGATGGGACAATGTGGTATGTACCTGAAGACAAAATCATACTAACCTTTTGAGACGACCATCTTCTGGTACAGTTTCCTCTGACTTGCCAGTGTCTATAAACAATTTCAAAGTTAGCGCTAAACGAGACGTAATCAGTTTTCTTCTAATCATACGATTCCTCGCTGTTCGTGCAATTTTGTAATCACCCGTTTGATTTCAGACCAAATGGCACTCCACTCAGTTCAATTACCATTCTTAATACTATATGTATCGTTTTTTAAATCAATGATAAAACTTTTTGCAAATGGTGCGGGACGCCCCAGTCCATCGTGACGGTGGAGTGTTGGTTGTCAAAGCCGTGTGTCATTTCTTGATGTGTTCTACAGCTTCAGGAGTGTCTTATCAGAGAACAGAACATAGCTAAGCCTGATCTATTTGCTTTATATAATAGATTTTCTTGTTGAGTGATGTGACATCGAGCATAAGTATTTGGGTGGCGTTACATAATATTTGTAGTTTCACGGTATGAATTGTTCAAATTTTAAAAGCATAAAGAAAAATTCAAAGCATACCTTGTTGGGCGAGGAACTCAGCAAAGATGGTCAGTTTGTCGCGGAACTCCCTGCCACATGCAAGGGACAGAATAATTTTACGTTTTGTGCTCCTGTTCGTGGGTAACTAGGGAGAAAAATGTATATGAATAAAGAGCCCATGTATGGTGATTGAAAAAAAAGCCGCGTTTTCTTTTTTTATTTTGCGTTTGCTTTGCTTAAAAATTCTTTCTCTTGTTTCTGGTAGTTGAATTTGCCGGTCGTGAAAACATCAAGAGATGTTTTTGAGAAGATTAAAATCGACCAACCACTCTTAAAAAGAAACTGGAAAACAAAACAAAACAAAACAAAACAAAACAAAATTAAAAACAAAATACGCGGTGAGACAAAATACGAAACCAAAATAATACTATGTTTTAAACTGAAAAATGAGACCAAATATTGATTTCTTCTAGCAAAACTATTGAGTTAATATCAAAACAATTGACTAAAAGCGGTTTACAATTTATCTAACGCAATGTTGGTATGATGTTACATGCAAAATAAGTATTATATTTGAAGGGATTTCATTGCAATATTTCAGACTAAAAAAAACTGCTTATAAAAGCAAATTGAAATAAGATATAAATATATATGGGAACAATGTCTGGATATCGTAAATATAGATATCACAAGTAAATGTAGTGACAAGATACTGTGCTTTCAAAGATTTCGGCCCCGTCCACACGTATCTGGATATTTCTGAAAACGGACTTTTTCCTTCGCAAATTGGCATTCCTTCCACACATATCCGGTGAAAATGCCGCTAGAAAACACAACTTTTCGAAAAAGGATACGTGTGGACGGGCGAAAACAATTCGAAAACACTGTAAGTGTGGACGAGAATTTTTTTCGGATACGGAATAAGAAAATACGTTTAAAAGATATCCGGATACGTGTGGACGGGGCCTTAGTCTAGCTTTTAAAGTGAAATTTTTTTCCGGAATAATAAAGACATGTGGTAAATTGTTTTTTATTTAGGGGCAGACACTTGTTTTTGTTTATGAACCTGTCAACTATTCACCCTTTAACTCTCTTGAGAGTGCTACATTTTTGATCAAGGAAATGTGGAATTTACCCCCTTTAATCGTACACAAATTTATAAACTTTTTTTTTTAATACCGTCTAGTTAGAATCTAACTAGGGGTAACAGTACCTTAGATTGATTTCTGTGATAATATTTAATGATTAATATGGACAGTTTTATACTTATAAGACAGAGTTGCATACAAAACAGGTATTTAACCTATCTAAGTACTAGCACAATAGAAATTCTAGAATTTTCTTTTGCATCACTTCATCAGTGGAACAAGATAATTAAACCATAGCAATACGATAAATAATGGATTGCAACGACTAATTTGATTTAACTAAAACAAACAAAATATAGAGCAAAATACTTCCATAAGAATTTTCTCTATTTTCTTTATAATCAAAAAGTGTTTTTCTTTCCTTTTCATCCATAAATAGGTTGTTTTATTCTTGACAATTTTCTAATGTGAAATTTAACCTTGATTACATTCAAAAAGGGTAATAATAAATAGCAATTTTGAAAAATAAACTGGGTGGTCTACTTAGTTCAAGCCCTGCATGCAGGGCATAGGATGTGCAAAATTAAAAATAAAATAAAGTAATAAATGGGAATTAGCACTGGATTCCACATAGTGGCTTGATGCTGTACCAGGAATCAAACCTAGATTGCCTTGGTGAGAGACGAGCACTATCAACACTATGCCACCAGTGCTGTCTTTAATTATATTGAGTTGATATAGAGTACTCAAGTGATGACGTCACAAAAATTAATTTTCATTTGATCATATTTTTGGTTAAAAAATTCGATAGACAATCAGAAAAGACGTTTACACACCAAATTTGACGAGAATCAGACAAATAACAGCTGAGATATGACCATTTAAATATATAATTACTGCATGCAAATCACTGTATTTTCGGCTCCGTTCCAAACGTTTGGAACAGAGCCAAAAATACAGTATTGTATTGTTCTCTCCTATGCTATGAGGAGTTTTTGCCTCCAGTTTTCCACAATCCGTAAAAATCAACAATTCTAAACCCTAAATTGTAATTTGATGTCTGAGAATAAGAGGGCCATATGATAGATAACTCTTCGTGGTTAATATGTATTTACCTTTAAAATAAAAATGACTTTTTTTAGTTTTAATTCTGTATAATTAACACTTTTAAAATGCGAAGAGGTTATATATATGAGAAGTATTTTATATATTAAGTTATCAATTTTTTATTATTATTATCATTATTATTATTATTATATATACATTTCTATGTTCCAGGTAATCTAACTTTTTTCCATATTTTATATTGTATTATATTGGATTGTGAACATCTTTTCATCATTTCCTGATCAGCTGAGCAGACTATGAATAAAAAAGATTACAACATAGCCTTATTGATAATCTTCATTGATCCAACATCTATTGATGCTCACTGCTGTTTAGGTTTTGTTTTGATGTAGGAAATGGAACAGACCAGAACTTGAACAAAATGAAAATAAAATAGCAAAAACAATTGTCTTAAAAGAAAATTGGCAATAAAGGATAATTTTGCATGCAAATTATCAGTTTTAAATTCAAGTCTCATTTTTAGTACAAGTACAGAAGTCTATCTCTTACTAAATATGTGCATTACAAGTAACTCAAAATTGTTAAGAAAAAAATAATTTATTTATTATTAATTGATTTAATAATAATTTTTTTAAATCCAAAAATCCAAAACTTTTCTCTCTAAAGTTGCAAATTTTGAAGTATAATGTTTAAAGAGAACTTCAACCCTAGGAGTGAAATGAAATGCTACCTGGGTGAACTAAATGGCACCTTAAATATTAGATACAAATTCATTTAAGTCAATAATAGGACTTGGCAAAAAAAGTGTCTTCTGTTGGTGTGACTAATATATTTAGCAAGGATCTAAGATTCTAGGCACACAATCCATGATTTGTCAACACTTATGACACATTTTCTTTTTCTCCTAATCTCTTTATATATATATATTTTTTTTATTATCATTTCGTGTTTTTATCATTCCTAAAATTCCTGAAATACCTAGAATAAAACATTCTGCTGTATGAATAAGACATTTGCTTCACTCTGTTGCTCAAGTGTCTGGTTGATGCATTAAGTATCATGGCCTATAGACTTATTCAGTGTGCCCCTCAAGTCATCAAGAATCGTTTCATCATGCATTGATATTTTTGTTCTAAAAGAGTCACAATCATATAATCCTGCTAGCAAAGATTTAAAATTCAGATTGATTTCCAGAAGTATCTTCAAAATTGATTTATTCTGTGACTTTATGAAAAATAATTAGTATGCCCCATGCATGGAGTTGCTTTAACAATAGGCCAATAGGCCTCACAAGATGACTTTACTCAGCTGTTATATATAAGCACAGCCTATCTTGAATATAGATGCTTACTCCAAGAAGAAACTGCAATGACTAATGTGCGGAGATACATACATATATAATACGATGTAGGTTTGGATTTGACATGGTAAAGTTGAATTCAAAGAAGTACAGATTTAGAAGAAAAAATAAACCTCAGAAAAATCCTCTGGGTATTGTCGCCAAGGAAACCTGTAAACACATGCAGAGTTTTACTAGTTGTTCTCAACATGCAAATATTAATACAAGTGTGCTTTTAATGCATGTGGTGAAACATGCCGCTGTGTCTCGTGGTAATTCAAGAGATGTGCTTCTATGGTAACATGTAATTTTCTAGTTCACTTTTGAATTGCTGCCAAATTAGTTAGCAAGCATACTTTATTTTCCTAGTCACATAACTACTACAGTCTAAAAATATTTTCAGTCATGACTAAGTTTGGTAATAAATTATGATTAAGAAGGCTGCAAAAGGTCTGAAATAGTACAGTAAAAAAAAAAAGAATGTGCAACATAAATGTCATAAATTTGGAATTTGGAAATTGGGAAGCACCGGTGGCGTGCGCTGCTAATGCGCCGCCTCTCACCAATGCGGCTAGAGTTCGAGTCCTGCCGATCTCGATGTCGTATGTGAGTAGAGCTGTTTGTTGGTTCTCTCCTGTGCTTTGAGGGTTTTTCTCCGGGTTCTCCAGTTTTCCTCCCTCCTCAAAATCAACTTCTAACTTCTAATTCAATCTTTGGGCTTTCACTTAGTTTGGAGCCTAGCTCTGTTGTGACTGTCCAACGCTGTGATACAACAGCGAAAAGCTTTGTAGATTTTAGAACTTCATGGACCTTCACTTGATCACATGAATATTCTACACAAAAATTATGAAGCTCAAAACTGGATCATTAAGTGATTATCATTTGTATTGATTGCACATGAAGTCTCATAGAACTACAACTTTGGATTACTTATTACACTTGCAATTTGATGCCACATACAAAAAAAAATAGCAAAAATTATTAATGCTTACAATAACACATTCAAAAGATTATCAGCCAAGTTGGGCTTATTACATTCCTTGCAAAATGCATGAACCAATCTAAATTATGTCATGCACAATATGTTAAAATATTCAATTGTCATCAGGCATGTTATAATTTATGTGATGTAGAGGGATTTTTTTTTTAAAGCGTTATGCATATCTAATCGTTGAACATTGCAATTTTAGGGCTAAAGTATTGATACTTAATATTAAATAGTGGTTTTTGTGAGATCCAAGAGGTCTGTAGGCCTTGAAATTTAAACCTTGAATAAAAAAATTTAACACAATTTTGTGTGTGTTTGGTTGATATGAAAGGCATTGAAGGTATCGTTAATAGGTCAACCAAGCATATCAATTCCTTTATCCGCAATAGGTGCATGTTATTATCGAAATATATAAGCATTGCAAAGAATAACATTTGCATGTGAAAATGAAGATCAAATTACATTTTTAGAACAATGGAGTCTATATGCCAAGAGCTACAAACAATGTACAAATGTCTTTTAAAAACGTAAATTAGGATTTGCAGGAATATTATCAAATTAAAAGCCAAGTTTGACTAAAAATTCCAATTTTCACAGTCAACAAAATATAATTTGGACCTTTGGCTTTTTCGTTTGGTATGTTGTTAAACAAAAGATTATTTTAAGAAAATGGGTCGGTTAAAGAATTTATGATGTGTAAAGGCTACAGGTCAGATCACGATTTACATTTACAAAATTTTCGAAGGTAATGATCTGCAATCTTTGCGATTGCCGTCCTAAATGCTTTGGGAAAGCCAGGATGAATCTAATACGTGGTAACATAGCACCAGCACAATAAATAATCCATCTTGAATTATTAATTAACATAGCATCTTATCTTTACCCACAATAAAAAGAGACTTGTCTTGGTTCAAAATTAAAAGAAATACTATTGATTCATAACTCTTCAACACTACGAAAAAAAACCTGAGAAGTTCACTCGATATTAATATTCATAATACTCGAATTTCATGAAAGTATAAACACCATAACGTACATAAACATTGTATACATATATTTTGAATTTTTTTGCCACAGTGAACTTGTGCAGTTTTTATAAATCAAATCTCCCTGATACAATTATTATTTCTCGGACGGTCAATAAACCAGATTGGAATAACGCGCAGTGTTTATTTAGAGCTCTAAACATGATAAAATTTCGCATTTCACAAGCTTCCTTGGATTTTGTAAACCCCTTGTACTTCGTCGCCTGCTGCTAAAACATCAGACAATCTCATATTTTACCGAAAATTTTCACGCCTTTAAAAAAATATTTCCCGATGCCCCAGTAAAAATAAACTGCAGCTAAAGCAAAAAGGGTCTTAATCCTAACATGTCAAATTTAATTTCTGGCAAGAGAGTAACAGCTGTTATGGAGAAGCGAGTTCGAAATTTATTTGCTTTCGTTACGAGGAAAGCATCTTCGCCATTTTGATGTCGAAGCCGGTAGAAAAAAAATTCCGTTCGCTACTTACCTCGCTTATTTTGATGTATTTCCCACGACGATTGCTCTTCAAATCAATATAAAATCGCTTGGACTGGATCTGCAGGCTCTTGCTCATGAGCTCTTCGTCCCCTTCGAAATAAAAACCAAAAATAAACCGACATTTTTAGGGGAAAAAAACCCCAGAGAAATATAAGCTCATTAGTACCGGACACGGTCACAAAAAATGTCAAACTTGCATCTTTGAACGAAGATTTCTCGTACAAACCCACAGCCAATGCAGCTGAAACCTTCCAGAATCATAGCTCAAGACATTAAGTTTAGAATAAAATATACCTTCGACGTTGGCCGGCCTCTCCTCGGTATATTCCCCTCCACTCGCTCCATCTCCAGTGGCAGCCATTTCTTTTCCTTCTTCACAAACCAGCAGCCATGTCAAATGCGTACGCACCCTACCCCTGTTTATACTGCACTGCGCCAGACCATAATACTACTCCAAATATGGCGAAAAGAAGAAGCCGGCGTCACGCAATGGCATCACACAATCTTTGGGTTTTCAACGGAAGCAATAATATTGGTTTCAACGAATTTTTTTGGTCGTTGGTCACAATTTACGTCTTATGTTGCTATAGTCACCTACAGATGAATATAGCGCGCACGCTTGTTTGTCGATTCGTGCCGCTTGTAGAGATAAATAACATTCGGAGGGGGGGGGGGGTGGAAGGAAAGCAAAACTCTTTCGCCATTATTTATTAAATTCACTTGTGTTAAAAATAATAAATATTTAAGTATTTACAAATGGTTATAGACTTTCGAGTGGCTCGGATGACCACTTTAAATCGCGGCCCTGCGTCGCTCCACACTTCATCATTGCTAAGTAACCATTATCGGAGTGACGTAAAAGAACTACTGAGGACGTAAAGAAACCCTGGGAAACCGCGGTGAGAATGAGAAAACCCAGAAGTTCTAGAAACACTTATGTATCCGAACAGAATCATCTAATGTTCAGTCCCTAGACCCCGTGATGATTTTATGCCGAGGGCTCAAGACCTGGCTTACTCAGAGCTGGAATCAGAAGACATGTTGAATTCACACATGTTGAAGAGTTCACACATGTGTACGTCGACATTGTTTTCGATATTGTTATTATTTATTTATCAATAATATTTATATAGAGATACCTAAATCAGCAAAGCTGGTTTGAATCAAGGGACAGAAGAAAAAAATGTGTATTATTATTACTATTATTATTATTTTATTTCATTTTATTTTTTTCGATTTCGGTAATGCCCAACGTTATTCGGCCCGGAAGTGGCCTATATGTTCTTCCAGTTCTTAATCCAAAACAGGCTTCATGCAAAATAAACTATTAGTGATTTTATGCTGCCCTCTGTACCGAAATAGAATCATCATGAAGTGATCATGAAATAGCTACCGTACGCGTAAATCCTCGTGCCTGCCTTTGGGACAAAAGCCGCGCGCATGCCCTCACCGTTCATCCTTTATAAAGGCTGGATGGATGGATGGACGGACGGACGGACGGACGAATGGATGGGTGGATGGATGTTTTTTTTCTTTTCTAAAGCCACTTTTACAAAAGCAAGTAGTTTCCTTCACATGTACAAGTTTCTTGATCGTGCAGATGCATCAACAATTTTTCCTTTTCAATATTTTGACAAGTATTCCGGCTTGCTTTAGCAAGTAGATATGAACAAGTTTTTCTTGAAACGTTTTGGCACTTGTAATGTGTTATGTACAGAAAAAGAAAAAGAAATGATAAAATGAAATTAAAAAGAAATTAAAAAAAAAAAAAAAACANAACAGTTCCTCTCGATGGATTCTAAACAAAATGACCGCTAAAGAAACATAATAGAAAAGGTTAATTTTGAATGTTTATTAATTTATCAATTGTCTAAAATTATTATGCCCCCCCCCCTCCCCCCCGCCCCAATCCATATTTTTCATCCTTGTATGTATCAGAATTGATGTTCCATAAACTTTTTATACCCTCATAAATATTTCTCGAGTAGTTTCCTTCAGTTTTCTCGGTGTACAAGTACAGTTGCTCAGTAAAAAATGACACCCCAGTATTTCATCATGGAGACTTAAAGGCGAGGAAAAACTTGCTACTTTTCCTCATCTAATAGACCTCTTCAGCTCTGACGTAATGTTTCCGGATGCCATTTCAGACCACATGTCATTCCCTAGAGTATCATTTCTCTGTTTAAGGTTTGCGCCCGGTTGCACATGAGAAGACACATGAATATGGATACAACTCAAACAAGGAATCTTATTCTCAAGAAAATGACACTTGGTCTGAAATGGGAAAACATTACCCCAAGCCGAAGAGGTCTATTGAGGAAAGAAAAGTTGCAAGGAGGTTCTTCAGCACTGCAAAGATGGATTTCTATCGATTCTTTGAGTGAGTTTTGAAACACTTACGATAGATATCTAAAAGAATTGATCATTTATTCTCGTTGACCTAAGTTTGTTTAGATTGGTGATGAACTGACGAGTTTTAGCGTTCCGTCGCAGGCTCATTTACTTTGAGACAAAATCCGTAACGCTCGCTCCCATGTAGACAGGTCCAAATTCAGTTTTTATTTCCTCGGCGACATGCATGCAGCTCGGTGTGTTAATTGGCAACTCTTGAATTCTTGGTTTATTTTTCTCCTACATATATTTTACTCACTTAGTAATACTTTCATCTTTCTTCGTACTGCCGGCCGACTTATTTGGTTTTGCCGGCGAGTAGAGCCATTCTATCCTACGTTGGTATTTCTTCTCAAACGTAAAGTGGACCATTGCAGCAGCCTCATCTTCTACTGGTATTCTTCTACCAAGACCTGGCGTAAGTTGGGTATAGATATGTACAGCTTGTGGACATGGACTGTGGTCTGGGTTTGTAAAAGATCGTTCTTGACTCGGAGAATTCCCCTGAATGCCAGAAAATATCTTGCCTATTTTAGAACTTTTAAACCGATTCATTGTTTACTTTTTATCAAGGACGGCTGCCAAACCACTTTTTGTGGATATTACTAATATCTAGGAGATAAAACCTATATATATATATATATATTGAACCAATGACGTCAAAACATTTGACAAAATACGTGTCACTTCTGTAAGAGTTCACAATAAGACATCACCACCACGTACTGTCAACAACAAAAACAATAAGACGAATAAAATGTTCATTGGGGGTCGTGGGTTCTCCTATAAATCATGCTATTTTACATCATGGTATTGCGTCTATCGTCAAAGGCTGAATTAATCTTTACCTTCAGGGACAAGATAACGTAATATAATTTAGAGGCATTGATATAAGGTGACGAATAGTACAGGATATGAATATTATGAAACACAGCGCAAGTGTCTCAATGTATAGACTTATCTTAATTGTAATTGTAATTGTAATTTTTGCCCTATTTCATAATGATGTCACGGTTTGTTTGCATCGCGGCTAAGTTGATAGAAGTTTAGGATAAATTTAAGCTTAATTCTCTTCTTTCGAGATATTTAGCGTAATATTTAGTTGTTCTTGCCTTCACCAGCTCATAAACCAAATTTCATTGTGATCTAAGATGTGTTGTTGTTATTTTATCCCCCTCCAGCGACCATGATCCCTAGCGTTAAAAAACAATAGTTTGACTTGAAGTGACGTCATTATGAAATAGGGCAATTAAAAGGGCTAATTTTCTGCGCCTGCCCTTGGCGTCACCGCTGTGTTTTTTGTTTTCGTTTTAACTGTTTTTTGTTTTTGTTTTTTTTTCTTTTTGTCTTTTTTTTGTTTGAGTATATTATCATAGATGTTTGCATTTCATTATAATACTTGTTCTGCCTTCTCGCTGCTTGGCTGTGGAATAGACCCTTTGCAGCTAAGCAATCACGTGCTGATTAATTCACTGAGAGCAAATGAATGAACATCTTGATTCCCATGGGTGAAATTTACTGGACTGCAAACAAACTTTCTACAACCTGTTTCGAGAGATCGTAATAAAACTACATTTCGTAACACACTGGTTACACATCTTTTCATTCAGTTCTTTACAAGTACCTAAAAAAAATCACCAATCTAATATAAAAACATAAATTTTGCAGTCCAGTACAGACACGTGACCGTGACTGACCGTGACACATGATTGCAAAGGGCCTATTTTTAGTTTGGCCCGTTAACTTATGTTCACCGTTTCCTCCTCTGTCGTTGTTGTTTTTCCAGAATGCCAATTTAACCCACCATATGACGAAGCATCATCATTATTAGTCGGCTTTCGTACGAAATTATTTTGGTTTTTTTAAAAGAGCTATAGAGCGTTTTCACTTGACGTCACAGCGGCATTATGGGGTACCAAAACAATACATTTTCTATCCTCCGGAAATTGAACTCTATTTCTTTGCAAATAGTAATGATAAAAAGGTAAATTATACACCGTGAAAAGATGAAAAAACTTACTAACGTTTCGGACGCTAGTCCTTTGTTGCTCTTCTACTCCGACGAAGGACTAGCGTCCGAAACGACAGTAAGTTTTTTCATCTTTTCACGGTGTATATTTTATCATTACTGTTTCATTAGAAACACCGACGCAGCTCACACTAGTTTTTAGCTAGTCATCTCCTTTTATGCAAATACTGTGCAGAAAGTTTCTATTGCTTATGGCTGCCTTCTCACGTGAGTGAAAACGCTCTATTACATAATCATTGCCCCTTAAATCTAGGAGTTTAGCCGGACTACATGATACCGTGATACATGCACTCGTGACCACTTGTCCCATTTAATTATGACGTAACATGAAATTGATTAACTATATTTTGTTTTGAAGAATCATGATCGAGGGAGGCGCGGAGCAAAACACCGTGAGCAACAATACAAAGAAAACTTTGAATATTTGTATTCTTTAGATGGCTTAGAAAAGCCAAAATAGCCACCAAAATACCATATACAGTAGGATGAAGAGCAGTTATAAAATGTGTGAAAACCAGACATCAGAGTTATCAATCCAGCTGCAGAGTACGTAATTAATCAAAATAGTTTCCTTCACAGTTTCCTGCGCCATCTTGAAAGGTAGCCTTGCCTTTGCATCGAAGCGAGACGAACGGTGAGCTTGCAATGATAAAGACCTTTTTTAAACACCTTGGGGAATTATTCACATGTCTCTATCATTGCAAGCTCACCGTTAGTCTCGCTACGATGCAAAGGCAAGGCTACCTTTCAAGATGGCGCAGGGAACTTGTAAGGGGACTATTCTAATGGGCCGCTTGAATTGTGGCGAAATAGAGCAACGCAACGGCAATTTTTATATGCATGACGTCTATCATCGATACCTATTAAATTAAGCTCCTGTATTCATATTGTTGTTGTTGTTGTTGTTGTTGTTTTTACCTTTGCAAGTCAAACGTGATGAAAGCCTCTAGATAGGCAGCGGGTCTCAAATTGCCGGTAATTAGCCTCGCTTATGTGACATAATATTTTTGAATATTATTTTTGAAAGCTTTATTTTGATTATAGCTCTAGCACTCTACATGAGTTTGATGTTACAGACGATAATTAAGTTATTGAGATCGCAATTACCCTACAAGGTATTTTTCATAACGAGAACGTCTTGTTTATAGAACGATTGTTGTTATGTAACGGCCTAGGACCGGCAATGTATGATTGCTACCGATTTGAAAAGAAATGAAGAAATAAAATGAATACGTACCTCGAGGAGACTTTTAATTATCGGTCATCTTGTCCACGGACACGAAGCAGGTCAAGAGCGACAATCAGACGACAGCCATTCGATCGAGCTACCAGTGTAGTACCTATACTTGCAATAAAGCGAAAAATTTTCATGGACTCAACCTATATATCATAGAGTATAAATGTGAACAGTTTTATACTCTATGATATATAGGTTGAGTACATAGTTTTCATTTTCTTTCAAGGAACTACACTCGTATCTGTGGATGGTCTACAGAACACATCCAAATCTGCCGTCATCATCTTCCATCCTGCACGATAGCAGAAAACCATCTACATGCGCAGGTAGCCAGAGCACCAAAGTCGTTGAAACTTTTTATTTGGAGCTCGCAGCTTATTTATTTATTTATTTTTTTCCTAATAAAATAGGGTACAATTAAATGAAAATAATCTTGGAAAAAAAAAAAAAAAAGATTAATTATTTATTTAATTATCGGATAGTCCCGATTATAGGTATCAAAATCAAAATGTGAATTGTTTATAAATTATGATAAAATAAAGAAAGTTGATGGAAAAAAACAAAAAAAAAACTAAGATGTTCATCTTAGACTCATTAATTTTCATGAGCTCATCGACAAACCAGGGTTTCTTATTTGTACCACGTGCAGTAGTTTGAAACCCCCATCAAATACGACCGCACCCATTTCAAACTTCTAGTACTTTGAAATATTTCAAGGTCCTACTACTCGTCGGACTTTGAAATATTTGAAAGTACTAGAACTATGAAATAAAAACAAACATAATAAAAAGAGTATAAGATGTCGTGTCAAATACTCGTCACTGCATTCTATTAGGTTCTCAAAATTCCAATAGAATACAGCAACTCGTATTTGAAACATTACTTCAGAACAGAAAAATCCAAGTATCTGAAAAAACGGGTTGACTTAACTTGTTTATGAGCGCTACAAAGACATACTTACGACAGGCGACACACTTCACCCCAGAGCCCTGTCATTCGTACTGCGCATGCTTGACGAAATGCCAGAGACTCACTGAAGCGAGCATACATAAAAATATTCATAACTTTTAGCTGTTATCAAATTTTACTGTGTTTAGATAAAGATTAAATTGAATAAAAAGCACGCTTAAGGCCCGGTTCATGCATCGAACGTTTCATGAACCGAACCTAACACGTTGAAGATCGACCTGCAAAGATCGTCAATCTACTTTTGAATCCAAATTCAGTCGATCCAATTAGATTTTTCCAAGTCAAGCATTCCGCGATTAAATGTAATATATGCATTAGGTTCGGTTCATGGAAAGTTCGTCGTTTGAATCAGAGTGGCTCCGAAGTCGTAATTTCCGACCGCTTCAGTCGATCTTAACGATTGGTTCGATCTCAATGTTATGGTTGAACGTAATTGATTCAGACGTCTAGTCTTACTTTTCATGATCTTAATTCTTAACATTTGGTTCGGCGCATGAAAAGTTCGACGTATCAACCGGGCCTAATGTCCCATTCACACCAAGGGTTATACATGTTTTAAAGTGATTTAACTAAACAGGTTTGGAAAACTATCTACGAACACTGCACAATATTTGGTGAAATAATGCATGCAAACTCTGCTTTGTCTTGCTCTGATAATATTTTAGAAAGTTTTATTATATTGTAGGTTTCTAGTTTCTCAATTTTTTCCTAATGGAAACATAGTTTAACTAAACACGTTTAGGTGTGAATGGGGTATAAGGCTTTCTTCTTGTACGCATTTTTCTGGCAGGCATTTTTCCAGTCGACGTTTAAGACCTACCGTGCCTTTGATCGGTTCGCGCTTTAACGAGCTTTTTAACTATCTTTTTTTTTTTAATGGTATTATTTTTTGTTGTTGTATAAATTGCAAAAAATTGTAAAAACGAAACAAAAAATTCTGGGAGAAATCATGGATGAAAAGAACTCGCCACAGTGTGAAAATAGAAGTAAGGACATAGATAAGCATATTATTTTAATGATGGATGAATAATAAAATGGAAAGCATAGGCTGCGTTCATAATGTATGGCAGGGGGAGGGGGGGGAAGGTAAAATTGAGGGGGGATCGGGAAAAGATTAGTCGTCAGAATACGTGGAAATTCATTTTACGGCAAAAACGCGCGAACAACGTAAACATGGAAAGCTATTACAAATATATCATATTTTACAGATATATCAACAAATTGACCCCCATTTTTCACAGATGATTAGAAAATACCCAAAAAACTAGTTACCATTTAAAATTTGTGTTAAAAATTTAGAAATATAAAATGTTATTGTGCTATATAAGTGTGGACTTGAAGCCTTCGCGTTATGTGAAATTCTAGTTCCAATTATTCACAAAATATGTAATTACTATTTAAGAAAATGATGTTTTATACAGGATGCTTTAGCCACAGAAACGTTTTCATTTAATATCACCCTATAGTAATGATTCAGACACGAATGAAACACGGGTTTATATGCGGGAAAGCCAGCAATACCTGGCATCATTTAAAATCTTCTTGGTAGATCTCTAGCTTGCTTCACGCGTCACACTGGAAAAATCAATTAATTTCCATACTATGGAAATACTATGGAAATAATCTGTAAATACACTGTAAATCATCATTTACATACTAAATGTACT